AACGTTCCTTTATCGTACCAAAAGTCTTGGCACCACACGAACATTATAACTTAAAGTGTTTGACTACAAACTTATCTCCAATTGGTTGAAAAAAAATTTCCGCTTGAATGTACATACCATGAAGGTTACACGTGTTAAATGAACAAGACCTAACACTCAGTCGCATTAAACCTACTAGAGTTATCTCCCATATGTTGTCAATTGATTTTAATAGCTCGATATGCAGGATATGTGAGTATTCAACTTTAATTTGGTGACAACCATTCGAGGTTTACCAGCCTACAGACTCCGAACAATTTTGCCTCTCAGATTAAAAACCTTCTTCCGGCCATGAATGTTGTCTCAATATTCCAAAAATTTGCCGTCATATCAGACAACATAAAACATAGGTGCCCAATGTTAGATTGTGGATGGCTAGTTTGTAGTTGGTTATTCAAGCTGAATCTAGTTTGTGATTGGTTATTCAAGCTGAATCTAGTTTGTGGTTGGTTATTCAAGCTGAATCTAGTTTGTGGTTTGTTATTTAAGCTGAATCTAGTTTGTGGTTGGTTATTCAATCTGAATCTAGTTTATGGTTGGTTATTCAAGCTGAATCTATTTTGTGGTGGTTATTCAAGCTGAATCTAGTTTGTGGTTGGTTATTCAAGCTGAATCTAGTTTGTAGTTGGTTATTCAAGCTGAATCTAGTTTGTGGTTGGTTATTCAAGCTGAATCTAGTTTGTAGTTGGTTATTCAAGCTGAATCTAGTTTGTGGTTTGTTATTCAAGCTGAATCTAGTTTGTGGTTGGTTATTCAAGCTGAATCTAGTTTGTGGTTGGTTAATCAAGCTGAATCTAGTTTGCGGTTGGTTATTCAAGCTGAATCTAGTTTGCGGTTGGTTATTCAAGCTGAATCTAGTTTGTAGTTTGTTATTCAAGCTGAATCTAGTTTGTGGTGGTTATTCAAAATGAATCTAGTTTGTGGTTGGTTATTCAAGCTGAATCTAGTTTGCGGTTGGTTATTCAAGCTGAATCTAGTTTGCGGTTGGTTATTCAAGCTGAATCTAGTTTGTATTTTGTTATTCAAGCTGAATCTAGTTTGTGGTTGGTTATTCAAGCTGAATCTAGTTTG